CCCCCCCCCCCTCGCTCCGCTCCCTCCCCAGTGTTGCATCACGGGCGAAGCTTGCACGGGGGTCACTACACCGCCCTCGTGCGAGACCCTAGGGGGGAGTGGAAGCATTACGATGATCAGCACGTGACGCCGGAGACGGAAGGCCACGCTCTCAACCCCATGAGCGGGCACCCGTACCTGCTGCTGTACACCCGCATGTAGACGAGCAAGAACTGATTTTGGTGGGGCTCTCGGCGCTGCTGGTGCTGCTGGTGTTGATGCCGTTGTTGGTAGTGGAAGCAAGGTGGTGGTGCTGCTGTACTGCTGTACGCATGTCATGTATGCGGTTGACGTACCCTTTGCGTATTTTATTTTTTTGTCTCCCATGATTGGACTCTGTTGTCTGCCCCTCTAGCCCCTATCTTCCACTCCTACCAGCTAGACGACCCAACCGGGGTCACACATGAGGGGGGGTTGGACCCCCTCCTGCGGTTCCTGCCTGGGATGTTTTTATCGCGAAAAGGGTACAGTAATCCTTTCCCTCGCGACTTATGAAGTTGATCAAGTTAACTACCAACGAGCTGCAGCGCGTCGCTTCCAACGGAGACCAGGATTCAACGACCGAGAAAAAACTCACTCCCCCGTGACTCGAACCCATGACCTGGCCCCTCGAAGGCTGCGAGGCTGCCCACTGGACCACCAGGGCGACCGGTTCTGTTGTTCGCCGTTGAAAGCTCCGGACGGATCTGCATATGATGTTGTCCTACCATTGGTGCTGTACTACTATTGTACTTTGCATGCATTCGCTTGACACACCCTATTGCGCGTTGGTTCGACGTTGACTGCAGCAGTAGGAGTAGTCGTAGACCCTCTGCAGGACCGTGTGTGTGCATGTGAGAGACTTGTGGAGGCTTCAATTCAACATTTTTTCGATGTCGGTCTCCATGCCGAATAAAAAACTTCTCGGAACGCACGGACCGATGTTTCACCTCCACGGTGGTGGTAGGCATTGTGTGGCGTACCCTTGTTTCTTCGGAGACCGCCAAGATTTTCCGAGTGCCTGCCTTGCCTGCGATGAGTTTCACAGCTCCTTGGTGCATTGTAGTGCGGGTGTGTCGGCGAAATGCAGTGTTTTTCGCGGACGGAACGGCGACCGATGCATACATACATAAACACCCGCGTGTTCGAGGGCCCTCCACCGCCCTGTACGATACGTGTCTGCGCTCTACGTCAAGGCGTAGCTTGACAACAGTACTGTAGATTGCATAATATAATACACCCCCTGGACCGATTTTCAAGGCGCGATTGGAACTAAGAGAATGCCGAAGGCAACCGGTGTAACCGTGTTCGGAAAGCTCTCGACGGGAGGGTTCCAACTCCGCCATTTTCGTCACCGTCACTTGCTTCGTTGCCGAGAAATCAGGCTTCGACAATCGGCCCAGGGGGTGTGATACCTTACGTCATGTCATCTACGGTAGTCGACCGCCCGATCCATCTGGTTTGGAACAGTCGGTACTCTCACGTGAGTGGCATGCACGATGTTCCAGTCACAATATGTTGCTGTTGGGTCTATTCGAGTTGTTGTGTCTGTGGAAGCGGAATAAACCAAGCTGGAACAAGATAAAACAGCCAGAGGGAACAGGGCACACAACATGGGACGGAGGGACGAAAGGTCGGACTCCAAGAACCTCGTTTTCCATATTTTGTGAGTCCACGCCTCCACCCTCTGGTCTACTCTCGTTCCCTCTTCCTCGTGTTGTGTGTCTTATTCCTACCGATGGTTCTTCGTCGGTTCGCGGTGATTGGGTTTGATCCGCCTCTACGCGCGGAACGGAGAGGGCAAAAAAAAACAAAACAGGTATTTGTTACCGGGGTGTCCGTCACATGAGAGTATCGAGCGTTCCAAGCTGCGCTTCAACACTTGCCTCTAAAATATGAGTCTCCACCGACTCGAACCACCGAAACGAACGAGCGTGTCCTGGGTAGTATACTGTACGGTACAAATTTAACTTTTCGCTTCTTCGTGGCTTTCGCTTGGTTGCAACCCGTGATGGCAACGCGACGGTGCGGTATGCCGAACATACCCGCACAGGAAAACACATCAAAACACACGAAGACTGTACTACCAGTTCGAGATATAACCAGTCGAAAGGGTTGTGTTGAACTCTTTACATCGAGTGGAGAGAAACTTCAGTTTTTTGTTTGAAGAAGGGAAGAAATAAATATTATATTCAAGTGTTCCCGGAATCGTTATTTCTGGTGTCTGACATTCTCTTCATTTTCAAAAAATACCTCGGTTACAGCTTCAGGAGTAGGGTGGACTTTGAATCCTGCATTTTGGACTTTGGGACGCGAAAGTAACAGCTGGACGAGCTCACGTTTTCAAGAGAGAGCACCGTGGGCTGTAATACATTGCAGTCCACGCATAGTATCGATTTCTCAGTGTAGGTACAACAACATGAAGCACTGCTGCGCAAAAACTTCCCACGCCGAACTGAAAATAAGGCACGACGCCACAAAAGCCGTCCTCCGATATAATTTCTCCGTCAGACCCTACTACATACAGGCAACCTAGACGATACACACACTTCAAAAACGAAACAGACGTGTACATGCATAGAACCGTGTGTGAATCGCTGAAGCATCACATCAACACAACAGCAGTAGTGTTCTCTCGCTTCCGTGACATGACACCCGTCACACACATCACGCCGACACCCAACCGACCACAAATCAGTCCCAAAAGAGCAACAGCCATGCCGACGCTGAACCGATCGACAACCAAAGTCACATTCATTCCACCCCCCCCCCCCCNCCCCCCCCCTGTCCGTGATTAACTGGGTGTGGCGACATCACCAGCGCGAAAACAACACGAAACAAACACACTGAGGCATTGTATGCATTTTACTGATGGAGCGGAGCGTGACGGCGATATGTACCTGAGAGAGGTTCGCAGGCTCACCTCCGCAAATCAGCCCCCGAGTGGAGAAAATCACAGTTGCCAAACGAACGAGGGGTACGGTACATGTCAACCTTTAGCCTACCGACCCCAGGCATCCTCCAAACCTTTGATTCCTCGGAGCCCCCTTCTTCCCCCCCCCAAGCTTGTCCCCCGCCCCTTATAGTTTCTTGCTCGTGTCAACAAGCGTGGTGGGGTGACGATTGTGCCGTCAGAACCCTCCCTCCCGCCAGACCCGTCGAAACAAACAACAAAATATCTCTCCGCCGTGCAAAATTCGTGGCTTGGATACGGACACCATCCATCCCGACAACGAAGGCGAGGGTGCCGCCTGCCATGTCGGTCGAAACCCCACAGACGCCATTTTCTATGGCATGTCAATGTCATGACCAAGACCACAAAAGGCCTATTGATACACTTGTGTCTCGTCAAACAAACTGCCCCCCCCCCCCCCCCCCCCCCCCCCCCCCCCCCCCCCCCCCC